CAGTCATTGGCTGATAGTACTAGCCTGAGTTATTGGTTAAGCTGGAAGGTACTCCTATGTTTGATTATTGTGGTGGCACCCATGATTCTAGCTTTGTTTATAATTTGGAAATATGAAGGAGAAGGACAGAAGCAATTGAATTCTGATGCAAGAGAAACCCCACAAGATGTAGGTTTTGTTTTATATGATGACAATGTTTGGAGGCCATGTCTTAGAGAAATTCATCCCTTTTGGTTGTTGGGTTTTCGAGTCATTGCATTTGGTCTGGCCTTGGCTACATTCACTGTGAAAGTTGTTGGTAGTAGAAGCACCATAATTTACTACTACACGCAGTAAGCAATCTCAGATCCCTCCACTTACCTAGTACTCTATTACTGAATTACTCTACTGTAACTGATCTGTAGGCTGCTTTTGTGGCTTCCTTAACATTGATTTTGATCTTAATGAAAGTATATTGTTTACCTAGGACTGTTTATATTCTTCCAAATCATGGGGTTGCCTTGCATTATCCAGCATTACAGTTGATTTCGAAATGTGGTCAATTCATTCTAACTTTAAGTTGTATTTTCTTTTGGGTGTGGACAGGTGGACTTTTACTTTGATTACCTTTTAATTTGGGGTATGTTTACTGTTTTACGTTTTTCAGTTCCTTTCCTGAAATATGCAACTGAATCGGTCAAAAACATGTATGTTGAATGTGGTTACATATGGTACAACTTTCGAATCTCTTTTCTCCGATTAACTTAATCGTAAATTATGATCTCAGCTTCATTTTTGTAGTTTGGATCACTGCTCTCCATTTATGGGTGTTACCAGTATCACACAATAAGCAACTATGATTCTAATGTACAACATATTGGGATAGATGCACAACAAGGATACTACATGCCTCTAACATATGGGAAAAGTGCAAATGTCTTAAGAAAAGCCTCAAATCCCCAGGAGAACTATTATGTTTCACAAGCTGCTGGTGTTACAAGTTATCTCTTTCAAGTTATATTCCAGGTAAATTCTCTTCCAAAACGACTCAAGTTTCACTTCTGTAGAAGTAGGGGACTTACAATGACTGGTCAAATCCATGGTTCAAAATGGTTAGCTGTTAACAAACTAGCTTCTCTTCTGGATCCCTCATACTAAATGAATTAATAATCTTTGAACTTTGTTTATGGTGCAAATGCATGTTTTGCAAACCTTACCCAGTAGGGGTAATATTGGCATTAAACAGATGCAAGTTAACCAGGCCACAATTCTAGACCTGATCTCAGATTTAGAAATTTTCATTTTAAACTGCCCTCTACCTAATTATTTGTCTTTCATTGGTACTTTCTTGGTGAAAATTATAACTACGCTCTTTGAATATTTCAATATTTTCATGTGGTTGCAACCTTATTTCACAACACTTATGCTTTTCTCATTTTAATTTGTTTTAAGCAGATAAATGGTGGGGAAGTTATGCTTACGGACTGCATCTATTGGACCATTATTTTTCCATTTCTTACAATCAAAGATTTCAATTTGAATTTTGTAAGTCCTTACTTATGGCCATTCATTAGGTGATTTCAAGAATGGGTAGGCGGTGGATGTCAAATTCCCATAATTGGTGAAAAAATTTAAGTCCTTACTTATGGCCAAACTCATATTTTTCTTTCAGTCTTTCTTGGCCTACAACTCATTTGCAGTTTGAATGACTATAATGTAACCGTTTCTACAATGTCTTAGTTTCTGTGGAAAGAATCATACTATAGCAGTACGTTTTGGTGAACTGTTGTCTTAGACATTTCTAAATTGAATCAGAAATCCATTTGCTGAGCCTGGTCCAAGTTTATCCATAAATCAGAATAAATGGGTAGGGCTCCTCCCAGTTTATCTTTTGGGCCCACGGTTATTGGGGCCATGAACCTACAAACCGGGGCAAAAATCTATAAATTCTGGAGTTTCTCTCCAAACCCTAAACCCTAATTGTAGTCCAGCCATCACCGTGGCGGCTCCAAAGCAATTCCTTTTGTGTTTTCCTGTGTTTTCCCTTCTTTTCTTTTTTCTTTTTTTTTTTTTTTTTTTTTTTGAATGTTGCACTTTAATAAGTCAGGCTAACTTTGTCAAATCCCAATTTTGGAGTTTATTCCCTTTTTTTCATTTATTTTTCCTGAGAAAATATGAATTCTTAGGGCAAGGATGAATAATGCTATGTAAATTC